CCAATAAAGGTGAAACGAGAATATTGAGAAATAACTATATAAGACATTAAGATGAGTGTTTATATAAAGTTTTGGTAGTGTGTGAGAAAGCCAGAGTCTACATTAAGTCCTTAATTTCTGGTGTTGAAATGTGTGATCATTTTCATCTCAAATGTCTTTCGTTCATGAGAGTCTTTGAAATACCCTTTAAGAACTTTAATCCTGTGGTTTTGGATGGAGTGACCAGTCTGGGTGAAGTGATGACCAACAGAGGTACAATATACATTTTCCTTGTGGTTCTTGATTGAGTGTCTGTATAGATTCATTCTGAGATGCAGCTTAAGGCCAGTTTCTCAAATGTAGCAACCTTTGTCACACACCGTAAACTGCATCATGTATACCACATTCGCAGATGTGCACGGATATGGTCCCTTAATGTTGTATGATTTGTTATTGTGTCTGCTTGTGTTATTGCCACATATACGTTGACACAGTTTGCAGAGTGATTTGTTGCATCGTACAGTGCCATTCTGTGTGAGCTTCTGTTCTGTGGTCAATTTGCTGTGGACCAATCTTTGTCTCAGGTTTGGCGGTTGTTTGAATGCTAGTATGAGGTGTTCAGGAAATATTTATTTGAGTGTGGGGCCCTCTGAAATCAATGGTTGTAGCTCTTTAATGATTTTATGTTTTCCTTCTAGAGTTGGGTTGTATGTAACTACTAGAGGGATTCTTGTTTTGTTTTCCTTTTCTTTGTATTGTAGAAGCCTTTCCCGTGGTGTTTTAGAGCAGATTTTATTTTTTTAGATATTGTCCTTTCCTTGTAGCTCTTTTACTTAGATGACTCTGACAGTGTACTCGGGTGCTGACCTCTGTCTTTTGTGTTAGAGCAAATGCGGTGATACCTGATAGCCTGGCTGTAGATGATACCTTGTTTGGTATGATGGGGATGGAAGCTGGAATTGTGGAGGTAGCTGTACCTGTCTGTGGGTTTTATATATACAGACAAATGAAGAATGCCATTGGTGACAATTATTGTGCAGTCCAAGAAACTCACACCATGATTTGAAAAGTTCATTTTAAGGTTTATTGACGGTGGAATGAATGAATGATTCAATAGATTATTAAGTCTATAAGGCTTTCTTCACCTTCTGTCCATATTATGAAAATATAATTGATGTAATGATAATATGTATATGGTTTGTGGGGCTGTGTATATAAAAATCTGTTTTCTAGGTCAACCATGAAAAGATTAGCGTATTGGGGTGACATTTGTGTGCCCATAGCTGTCCCTGTCATTTGTAGGTAGTTATTGTTATTAAAACCTAAATAGTCGTGTGTGAGTATGAATTCTATAAGCTGGGCAATTATTATCATATTTGTGTGTTGGTTTGTGGGATGAGAGAAATGTAATGCTGGCCTCAATACCATCCTTATGTGGGATGTTACTGTATAAGGATTCCACATCCATTGTTACTAGTATAGTGTTTTCAGGTAGTTCATTTATCTGGTTAAGTTTATTTAGGAAGTGTGTAGTGTCCTGGATAAAGTTCTCAGTCTTAATAATTAGGGGCTAAAGAATGTTTTCCATTAGGACAGATATTTGTTCCATGAGTGTTCCCATTCCTGTTATAATGGGACATCCTGGGTTTCCTGGCTTGTGGATTTTTGGCAAGGTGTAGAAGTTTGCTGTATGTGTTTCAGAAATGATTTGATAAGTTTTGTGAGTTTAGTTGTATATTCCTTGGTGGGGTCCTTGTCCAGTTTATTGTAGTAGTTTACATTGGACAACTGTCTGTACTCTTCTGTAATGTAGTCCTGGGTGTTCATGACAACTACTGATCCACCCTTGTCAGCCGGCTTGATGATGATGTTTTTATTATTCATCAAGTTATCCAAGGCCCTTCTTTCCATAGGTGAGAGGTTGTATGTGATTTTTTTCTCTTGTGTGGTAACAAGGGATGCCACTCCCAGGCGAAAACTTTCAATGAAGCTGCCCAATTTGATGTTACATCCTGCTGTCAGTGTAAAGTCTTTGTTTTTTTCCCAACATTAATATCCTGGTTGAGAGTAGTGTTTTTCGTCATAGAAGAATTCCTTAAGTCTCATTCGCCTGAAAAATTCTTCCAAGTCTGACTATAACTGGATGTGATCCAGTTTTGTACTAGGACAGATTGTTAGCCCCTTGGATAAGACTGAATCCCAGTATTGTCCATGCAGTGTTCGTGGTAGTTAGCAGGCTCAGTTTGGTTTGGGTCATTGATAGTTCCGGTGGGAGTTAGTTGTTTTTTACTGGTGCAATCAATTGATCTTTCATTTGGGCTTTCTTTGTGCTGTGTGAAGCCTGCCAGTTTCTTATTCATTTTCCCGATGAGATTCTGTTTTTGCTTCCTGTAGAAGTAATCCATTTCTAATTCCATTGCTTTGCTTTTGGATGTGACCTTTTGAAGATCTTGGAATAAGGACTGCTTATGGCAGAGTAATTTTTGTTTTCTGCCCTATAGCTGGTGAATTAGGTTGTTGCATAGTTTCTCACTAGTCTGTCTGCAGAGATTCTTGCAGTTGTGGGTAGTTGAAAGTGGGTTCTTAATTTGGAGTCCATTTGGGATTAGATTAATTTTCTTACAGTAAGAAAATATATGTCACTGTTGGTTTTTGTTTCTCTTCTAATCAGTTTGATCATTAGCTTCTTTATGCGGCTGTATTCAGTACCTGCCGCAAAGTGTAAATTCTGGCTTTCTCTCATATTACCAAAACTTTATATAAACACACATCTTAATGTCTTATATAGTTCTTTTTCAATATTCTCGCTTCACCTTTATTGGATCAATTTATATACATACATATATACAGCTATTTACTTGCATGCCCTGCTCTACTGTCTTCTTGTTTTTTGTTTATTTTGTGCCTGTTTTCTTCTTTTCAACTAGCTTATTGACTCTCCTCTGTTTATTTACTTTTTATGCCTATTCTTAGCCAACCTGAACCTTTCATTTTCAGGCAAATCTTCTGCTATTTATGACACCCCACTCACCCCCTCCCCTTCTCTGACATCAGTTGTTTTAAGTGTTAAACTCTATCAGATTGATCAGTATTGATTCAGACCTAAAGAAGACAGGAAAACTCTCAAAAGCTTGTCTTTGAAATATTATGTTAGTCCAATAAAAAATGAATCATTGCATAAGGCAATACTCTGGTATTTTGGCATCTTGTCTACTGGACTAATATGGCTAATCCAATCTACAATATATATATATATATATATATATATATATATATATATATATATATATATATATATATATATATATATATATATATCCAAGACTTCTCTAGGGCTGCACCATTTCTGTGGAACTCCCTTCCCTTTTCCGTTATATGCTCACCCAGTCTCCACTCCTTAAAAAAATCATTAAAAACTCACTTTTTCACAAAATCAATTAAACTGTTAGTGGCTCCAAAGAAACCAACAGTAAGTCTTCATTGAATACTATTTTATCAATCTACTTCCCTAATACTTCACTTATCTTTTGTGTCCCTTTACCCCACTCCCTCTAGCATGTAAGCTCATTGAGCAGGGCCCTCAACCCCTCTGTTCCTGTTTGTCAAACTTGTCTGGTTACAAATACATGTCTGTTAGTCCACCCATTGTAAAGCGCTACGGAATTCGTTGGCGCTATATAAATATAATAATAATAACTTAAGATTTGAACTACGCTGCTGTGGCACCAGAAAGATTAGAGAAAATTTATTGATACTTACCGTAATTTTCTTTTCCTGGCTATTATTCATGGCAGCATTTAACATATGGGTTTAGCTCCTCCCTCCAACCCTCAGGACAGGAAACACAATCAATTAAACAATTAAGCCTACCTTCCCCTAGTATATTAGGTACCCCAGTATCCCCCACACCTCAGTCCAGTAACAAGACAAATAAACCAAGAGAGGGTGGGAGACCAAATGCTGCCATGAATAATAGCCAGGAAAAGAAAATTACGGTAAGTATCAATAAATTTTCTCTATTCCTGGCTAATCATGGCAGCATTTAACATATGGGATTACCAAAGCAATAACCACTCAGGGAGGGTAAGTCATGCTACAAAAACTGTTTAATATCCACTTAAGGCTTATAAGAGTTCAGGACCGATAGGCCAAACTCTGAATCAGAACGGGATGATGTTACGACACGTACCGTCGGGTAGATGAAGCCGCCGTTTAGGCAATAATCCCCTTCTCCAGAAATGCAGTTTAAATCCAGCCGATCGCCAAACTCCCGAACGAAGTCCACGAACACGGCAACTCCCGATCAGCCAAACAGTCGAACGCCTTCCACAGCTAGAAATAACGAAAGCGCTGTCCCAGTAATAATTCCCCCACAAACGAGACCAAGCTCCGTCTTGAGGGTCAAATGAAGTTCTGTTTAATGGGGGCTACCTGCCCGGTATTTATGCAGGTCTCCACAAGGTGGACACTCCCCAAGGGGACCTTGTGGAAGACTGTAAAACATATTGTACAGTAGCCAATCGCAGTGGCCTCAATAATAGCCCTTCCCATCTTACCCACAAATCCGTCTTCTCTACTCTGGAGATAATTAGGAAGAAACCTAATTATCTCCCAAGGTAGAGACAATCGCCATTTTAGTTTACAGTAACAAAAATATATTAAAATACATAACGACAGAAATACCGAATGCATATGGTTCGTGTAACGTATCCCCAGACAGCCTGGATCTGAGGGCATGTTTTCACCGAACAGCGCTCAGATCCGATGTATCTAGTCGAATCGCCATGGAGTCAAAGTCTTGCACCAGTCCTTCGGTATACGAATGACTCCATGGGATGGCTGTCGGGGTAAAAGTCCATACGAATGAATAAAACTCCCGAACGACCGACGTTCGCATGCCTTGTCGAAAAGGAAGGTAGGCAGCAGCTTTTCAGCGGTGTTCGGTAGTTTAAGTGTCCGTTTTTAGTTCCATACAGTTTGTACCGAACACCGCTCTGTGTTCGTATGTCCCAAAATGGCCGCTGCCTCGTGGTCGACATGCGAACGACGACCACCCGTACGAATGGAATGGAGAGGTGTCTGCGGTTAACCACAACGTTCTAATTGGGGCCAAGAGGTTAACCAGCAGCACACTCCTCTCCTGGGTGGTCGTTCGTTCGGTAGTTTCAATCGGTATTTTGCAAATTACACGAACGGGGTTATATGAACAGGCAATTCCGCGAACAAAGGGAAACAGACGAACCAACAATGTAGATGAATCTGTCACACGGCTCCCCCCTTGTGGGACACTCCGGCAGACCCGGCTTGACCCTTTAGCGGGTCAACGTGGGGATGACCGGACTAAGATGGGGTGAGGATGTCGGTTTGCCTGGACAATCCATCTGCGTTCCCATTCTGCTTACCGGGTCGATAAGTGATGGTGAAGTTATATGGCTGTAGAGCTAAACTCCACCTCAGCAGTCTGCCATTGTCTCCAGAGACCCGGTTAAGCCAGACAAGGGGATTGTGGTCCGTCACAAGGGAAAATTCTTGTCCATATAAATACGGGCTTAGCTTCTTCAATGCCCACACCAGAGCCAAACATTCCTTCTCCACTGCCGCATAACTCACTTCTCTGGATAACACCTTTCTGCTGAGATATGCGACAGGGTGCTCTCCTCCATCTTCCCCGACCTGGCTCAGCACAGCCCCCAGTCCATACATGGAAGCATCTGTATGGACGAGAAAACGTTTGTTAGGGACTGGGGCAGCCAGGACAGGGGCATTCACAAGAGCTTGTTTGAGTGCTTGGAACGCAGCTTCACAAGCTGGAGACCACAGGACCTGCTTAGGAAGATTTTTCTTGGTCAGGTCAGTCAGGGGTTTGGCAATAGCGCTGTAGTCGGGGACAAAGCGTCTATAGTACCCTGCTGTCCCTAGGAAGGCTAACACCTGGGTCTTGGTGATAGGTGTG